GGGTGGTGGGTGGGGCCCTGGGACTTCCAGGTGTGTCCTTATTCTCCACCTCAGTAGGGGCAGGTCCGGGAGTGAGTCTGGGTAGGTCTGGGTTGGGTAAGCCTGCCCTCAGGCTCCACAAATGCTGCTAGCAGGGGTCAAAGGTCTGTTTGCTTCTGTGCAAAGCTGCTGGGAGGGGCTGAAATGGTTCCACTCACCGGAAAAGTCTGGGCTTGGGGAGTGGGGCTGTCCAGGACCCACATTCTGGAGCAGATCTGGCTCCCTTCCACGCTCCCCTTCTCCGTGGCCTCTCTCAGGCCTCTGCCGGCAAGCAGGACCTCAGTCCAATGGATCTCCCCTGGCTGTGACGTGGGCGGGGAGGTTCCCTACCCAGGATCGAAGACTGAGCTGGGTGCACAGCCGTCTTTGGGAGGAGGGTTGCTGCTCCGGCACGCTGATCTGCCCCTGAAGGCACACACTCCTCAGGAGGCTCTTTCACAGATCTCCCTTCTGTGCCCCGGGGCAGTGTGATCGTGACCTGGGTGTATGGGGTCTGGTCTGCAGGCCTGTCCCCTGGGCCCTGGAGATCAATCCCTGACCCTGCCAGGGGGAGGGGTGCTGGTCTCGAATCACCTACAGGGTGCCCAAGCTGGATTGATTTCACTCCACCTCGGGATTTGCCTTGCTCTCCTGGAGTCACCAGGCAAGCAGCATCTGGGAGGGCTGGCGGGTAGGGAACTTGCAGTCTGAGTACCCCTCAGTCTGCTGTAGGGCCCCAAAAGGAAAGGTCCCGGTCCTTGGAGATGCCTCCATGTGATGGCTAAATTGTCTCTCTGGGCACCCATGGGTAGGGAAGGGGAAGGAGAGAGTGGAGCAATATGGCGTTTGCTGATAGGCTTGGGTCTGCGCGTGGGAAGGTGCCCTGAGGGAGGTGGGAGCCCAGCGCTGAGTCTGCAAGAGGCCACTGCTCACTGGCGGCAGCCGTCTTTGGGCTGGTGTCAGCAGGTCTCTCCAACCGCTCAGGAGCCCACAAGCAGTCCGAGATGCAAGGGAGGGGGAAGTTATTTGCTCCACCTACCCTTATTGCTGGTCTCCAAGCCTCTCGGGACCTTTCTCCTTCCAGTTC